TAGAGCTATTTCTCCTCATTTTGAGTGCCTCCCAACCTGAAGGCTCATTGGCTAATGAAATTATGTTATGCTGTTATTCATAGGATTTTTGAAGACCTATTTTAGGAAACAATTAGGCATAGTTTTGATAATATGGTAAAAAACATTTTAATCTTCACTATTGATGGTGGTGTTTTCTACATTAGGAAGAGCTTGTATGTACTATTGTCCATGGTTTTCAGTTAGTAGCCGTTACCCATAAAGTGATTACACACTGATTGTAGAGCTCTATTATGTATGTATGTATTCAAATGAGAACATAATGAAAGTATAGTTAATGAGACAGAAGTATTTCTGAAATCAGGAAGATCTGTTAAAAAGTGCGTGTTTTCCCAAAGCAGATCTTTTCCAATTGTTAATTGCTGCTTTTGCCTACAATTGAGGTTTCCTGTTGGTTCAGTTAGCGTTCATTTTCAATGTTCCTTTAGAGAAGTGTTAGTAAATGATAAAAAATAAAAGGGGGTTATAGAAAAATAACTGTTGGTTGTAGCCTCAATGACCCAATGAGTGTCAGAACAGAACTGTGTACAGGTTTTCAATGACGGGGGTTCAGGTCTTTTTTCCAGAGTGTCTCTTGGGATACTAGAACCTCCAGCCTTTCTGTTACCAGCCAGCATATTAAGCAGCTGTACCACCTAGGATTCCCATTCTTCTCAGAGTCAGTCACAGTTTGTTATGATCCACACAGTGAAACGCCTTTGCATAATCAATGAAACACAGATATATATTCCTCTGGTATTCCCTGCTTTCAGCTAAGATCCATCTAACATCAGCTACAATATCCCTAGTACCACGACCCCTTCTAAACCTAACCTGGACTTCTGGCAGTTCTCTGCTGATGTGCTGTTCCAGTCATTTTTGGATAATCTTCAGTAGAATCTTGCTTGCATGTGAAATCAGTGATATTGTTCTATAGTTTCTACACTCTGTTGGGTCACCCTTCTTTGGAATGGGATCAAATATAGATCTCTTCCAGTCATTTGGCCAAGTGGTTGTTCTCCAGATTTCTTGGCTCAACTTGGTGAGCACGTCCAGGGAAGCATCTGTTAGCTGACATATATCAATTGGTGTACCATCTATGACTACTAAGGAAAAAAAAACCAGATTCATTCTGGAGAGGGTTAAACCAGGATGTTCCTTGGAGGCAAGGATCCCGAGGCTTCATCGGACATACTTTGGACAGGTTGTAAGGAGGGACAGGTCCTTGGACAGGAACATCATGCTTGGGAGTGTGAAGGGATAGCGCAGAAGGGAAAGGCCCTCTCTGAGGGGCTGGGGTAATCGGGATGGGTATACTGGAGACAGTGTGATGGGCACAGGACAGAGCAGAATTTAGGGCTGTTGTTATGAGTCGCAGGTGACTCAACGGCACATAACAACAACCACCACCTAAGGAACTCTAAATAGCATTTTGTGATATTGAACATATTGTGTTCATTTATGAATCATGTAGCTGCCTAAGGATTTTCTTTTTATCTTAAAGAATGACAACAACAAAGAAGAGAGTTAAAAGAGTGTTTTTTGTCTTGATGATTGACATAAAATATATCAAGGAATATATCAAATGATAAAACATTGCTTCCTACATATGTTATCTCTTAATTTTAAATGAAGTTTGAGTGTTTCTTTTTTTTTTCTTCTTTGGCTTCTTCAAATTTTCTGTAACTAAAAATTAACAAGAGAGCTCTAGTGGGCTGGTTGGTAAGGACGTGCACTTCCTACCCAAAGAACTGCAGCTTGAATTCAGCAGCAAGATAGATGGGCAGTCTCTTTTCACGTGATTTACAGCCTCTGCAAACCTCCAGGAGGGTCAGCTATGAGTCAGTTCTGACTGAAGTTACATAACAACAGCAACAATAAGTAACAGGATTTTAGAAGCAAAGATAATAAGTAGAAGAAATTTTTTTAAAGTCAAAGTCTCTAAAAGTTGAACACTGTATTTTCTTTTTAGGGGAGTCAGCCCAGCACACACAACTTCTTTATTCCTTCGATCACACCTTGTATCACCAGTCTACAGAGCCTGGTCGGCCCTAAGAGAGCTTCCAGCCCTTCCTCCCAAAATTCAGGTATTGTTTATATTTAACTATCTTGTTACCTAATACTTAAATGCTACTATTTTTATGAGCAATCTTTCCACCTTCAAGAAAATGTTTTTAAATCTTTGTATTTGACCATATAGCCTCAAACTGTCTGATGAATCTATTCTAAAGAAAGTAAATGCGTATAGAGATTTGTTTGGGGGGTGTGCCTTTAACTTTGTACAAATGCACATGAAAAAGGCAGAAAATCAATGTACATAATAAAGTAAAGTCATTTCCAAATAAAAAAGTTAATAACCTGCAAATCATTGAGGCAGGCTGAGGACAAGGTAGAGTGAGGGGCTTTTTTTGAAGTCCTTTATCAGGTAGAGGGCTATCTTTGATGAAGGCAGAAAACTGTACAATGAAGCACAAATGGCCCACCCTCCAAGCCATTTATTCACCTTGTTCCAGGCAGCTGCTCCTGCAGTCAGACAAAAAGATTATGGCGACTCTGTGTCAGACAGTGAGGATTTCATTGTAATATAGGACACAGCTCTCATCTCTGTGATTTCCAGGTTAGACACTGAGAAAAGGAAAATGTTTACTTACCCTAGTATTCTTTCTTGAAAAGTCTAAAGAGTGTTACTACTCTCATAAAGTATTAGTGCATCCAAAATGTATTAGCTTTTATTAAAAAGAATTAATTGTATTGCTTCATTTTTTTTATAGGCACAGATACAGGCCCACGGACTGTTGAGATAATCAGAGTAAGTCCATTATTCTGCTTTGTTTTCCTGATTTGTGCTGGCTTTGCATAAAGTACACATGCATTCCTTAGTAAAATTTACTGCATGGTTTTGTGTGCTTTCAAGTTACTGATGTGAATATACAGTCTTTGTAACATAAACAAACATTTTCATAAACATTTAAAATATTTGTTTATGTTACAAAGAAAAATACATTTAAGCAAAAGATAGCCACTGTGAATTTTTTGACACATGCTTATCCGCTCCACTTCGTGCATATGTGTGCATGTTTAAATTTTATAAAACAAAACATGGTCTCATATTGGGACACAATCCTGTGGCTTGTCTTTCTCACTTTGCAGCATGAAATTTTACATAAGCCAATAAGTAATTTTTGAAAGCATATATAGCATTTTTTTTGTTATTTGCTTACTATTAGATCATGTGAAAGTACTGTGGTTTTCTTAATCACAATCCTCTTATTGAATTATTAGCCTATTCTAAAACTTTTTATTTCTTCAATAGAAAAACATATTTAGATTTTAATTTTTATCCATATAATAGACAATTTCTTCAGAATTAATTATTTTTGTTTGTTTGGAGTGTTGTGTTTGTTTTGGACTAATTCTTTTTTTTCTCTTTTTAAATTTTTATTTATTAATTTTAATGAAAGTTTACAGAAACTTAGGGTTTCTAGTCATTCATTGTTGCACTTTTCTCCCTATCCACCTCTCCCCCCAATTTACTCTTCTCCTTGAAAAGAAGAAAGAAAAACTCTTTCACTGTTAGGCAATCCCTCACCCCAAGTCCACTCCACAATGCAGTCTTCACTCTGGACTTATGTAATGATAAGAATACCCATTCATATATCCCCCTTTTAAACAGTTCTCTCCCTCATCTGTTTCAATGCAATATACCTCATTCTTCCCCTCCTTTTCTGTCTTCTCTCAACCCTGATGTCAGTCCTATTTTACAACAGTGGCCCTATGCAATATCTGTCCCTTTGTGACTGAGATATTTCACTCAGCATAATGTCCTCCAGGGTCATTGTTTTGGATTAATTCTTGCAAATTAAATTATTGGGTAAAAAGCCACACTTTATTGTTAAAGGCTTTGATACCGAAACGAAAACTCTGTCATCACATCAGTTCTGACGCAGGGCAACCCTCCTTCGGGTTTCTGAGGCTATAAATCTATGGAATGAGCCTGCTCAGCTCTCTCCAGTAGAGCATCTGGTGGATTCAAACCACTGACGTTTCCATTATCAGCTCAGCATTATGCCACCAGAACTCAGCTAAGTCACGCTGCTGGGAAGACTCTGCAGGATGCATTTCAGTTCATAAACTCCTCATGACCAGATTTTCACACTCTTGTGAGAAGTAAAGACAACTGTTTTGATCAATTTGCTATAAATTTGGGATTCAAGAAGTAGTAATAATTTATGGTCTTGCTTTAGTCATAGCTTAACTAGAGGAAAGTGCTATCCAGCTTGGCTATCTGTGGAGGTACATTCACCATTTATTAGCTCTTAAACCTTTGGCAAGTCCCTTAATTTCCATTTTCTCTTTAGAAACAGTAATTCCACAAAGTCAGATTTCTCCACCTTTCAAGATTTAGAGTATAACAGCTTGTTGTGTTTCAGTGGTTATTTTCAAGGAAGCTTGGTGGTATTTTTTGGTTAAGTGTTGGGTTATCTAAAAGGTTGTCAATTTTCACCCACCAGTTGTTTCTTGGGAGAATAGTCTCTATTCATTAAGATTTAAAGCCTCAGAAACTCAATAGAGGTTCACCAGGAGTCAGATTGACTAAAAAGCAGTGGGTTTGGGTTGTTGTTGTTGTTGTTATGTGCCATCACGTCGCTTGCAACTCATTAGGGACCCTATGTATAAGAGCTCTAAATGCTGTTCTATCCTGTGCCAGCCTAGCCATCTCAACACACTTATTCCCACCACTCCAGTCACAGAATCAATCCATCTCATCGAAGGTCTTCCTCTCCTTCACTGCCCCTCTACTCTGCCAAGCATGATGTCGTTCTCCAAGGACCAGTCCCTCCTTGCAACATGCCCAAAGTATGTCAGATGAAGGCCTGTTCTTATCAAGCCTATTCTCTCACATGTAATACACACAGAAAATTCATAGTGAGATTCATCTTGCCATTTTGGATGTAGTTTGATGCATTTAGAAACTGTAAGACCCAAGGGAGCTCTGGTGGCCTAGTGGCAAGAAGCTGCACTGCAATCCCAGAGGTATGTGTTCAAATCCACCCGACGCTCTGCTGGAGGAGGGGCAGTCTCCTCCTGTACCAGTCAGATCCGATTTGACAGTACACATACAAAATAATAAAAAATTTAAAAAAGAAACTATAAGGCCCAAATACTTTGGAAAAGTGATCTAACGGTCTTATGGCCCTGTCGTTATTCGGTCTTGCAGGTACAGGGTTGCTATAGGTTGATTCGATGGCAGCTAATAACAGTAACATAAATGTGATGTGACAACACAAAGGCTACTATTAATGACTCGCTGTCACTGTTGTTGAGTTGGTGTGAATTCACAGTGACCTTCCATGAGGTGTCCTAGGTTATAAATTGAAAAAGGGGGAGACTTTCTATTTTTCTCCCCAGCTGGTAGATTCAAACCACCAGAGAAGTACAGTTTCGGGGTTAGCAGCCCAACTCACTGTGGACTGCTCATTAAGAATAATCTCTCATGCTTATGTGGACGATATTCCAAATCATATTTTTGTGAGTCTTTTAACTCTTTTCAGCTTCTTTGAGGTATAATCATACATACTTTGTTCTATGGTTTTTAAGATACAGACTGATAAATTTGAACTGCAGAACCCTTGAAACCACTCAGGTGACTCTACAGCCGCCACTCCACTGACATTTAGGTCATAATTGCCACATGTTGACATCTATATAAATGGAGAAATTTGCTGAACACATTGTAACTTCTGCTTTTAACAGTCCTATGTACTTCAATATCAAGAAAACAAATATTCTCATCACTGGGCCAATTGGCAGCATCAGTATGAAGAGATTGAGATATTTAATAGTTTTAGTTTACTTGGTTCCATAGTCAACACTCTTGGTAACAGCAGCCAGGAAATCAGGATACCAATTGTATTGGGAAAGTCAGCTATGAGCGACCTCTCAAGAGTACTGAAGAACAATAATGTCAGCCTGGAGACTAAGGTGCGCCTGATCCAGGCTATAGTCTGCAATTACATGCTATGCATCGGAGAGTTGGACAGTGAATAGGGATGATAGAGAATTGATGCGTTTGAGCTGTGGTGCTGGAGAAAAGTGTTGAATATACCATGGACTGCTAGGAAAACAAACAGGTTTCCTGGAAAGGGTGAAGCCAGAATGCTCCTTAGAGTCAAAGATCCTGAAGCTTTGTCTGACATACTTTGGGCATGTTGCAAGGAGAGACTGGTCCTTGGAGAGGGACATCATGTTTGGGAGAGTGGAGGGATGACGCAGGGGAGGAATACCCTCGATGAGATGGATCGATTCTGTGAGTGGAGTGGTGGGAATGAGTGTGTTTGAGACAGTTAGGTTGGCACAGGATAGAACGGCGTTTAGGGCTCTTATACATAGGGTCGCTATGAGTTGCAAGTGACTTGATGGCACATAACAATAACATATTTTTAAAGTAAACTTAAGAGCAAAATTGGTCATATATTTCTGGTCCACTGTCTGTTGAATAATGTAAAGGTTTGTCCTAGACCTTGTGAATGTTATAATATGTAAACTCTGAAGAATGTTGCTTTTGTTTTAGTAATCAACCTGGGTAGGTTCACATGACAAGCTCTACCTCATCTTTTGCGGAAAGTGGTTCAAATCAGTTCAGTTTTCTAAGCTTCTGCTGTGCTGGTTTTTGTATATCCCACACATGTATAACTGGAAATTATGCCTGAAGAGTTTATATATGGAAGAACTTCTCCTATTCTTTCCACTCTGATTTTCTCCCCTACTTTTGAGCCATGAAGAATGCCTGATGGTAGAGCACACAACGTTTTGATCTTTTAACAGAAAACTTGACAATTCAAATCCAGTAACCACTCCTCAAAAGAAAGATAGCAGCCTTCTTCTACAAAGATTTACAGCCTTCCTGGTGGGAGGGTCATTATGAGTTGGACTTGACTATAGCAGGGGATTTAGTTGCAGCCACTAGTTCCTCTTTTTCCTGGTGATCTGGTCAGAAAGATGGTGCTTCTGTCAGAGTTTTAGCCACTCCTTGAGTGAGACTCCCCTTCATAGCAAAGTTATTAGAGAGGAAAAAGAAAATTCACTTTATGCACTGCTTTTCCACATTTTGACTCTCTACTTCAGTTTGTTTTTTGATTTTTATAGAGACTTCAAGACCTCGGACAGTTAGTTTGTTTGGGGTGTTTTGTTGTCTAACAAGAAGAGGCTTTTGGCATCATGTGCTTATGCCTCCATGCTAAGACTGGCCTTGACATCCATTCTAATGATTTTTTTAAAAAAATATAATGATGCCTGTGAGAGGTGGAACTTAAAGGGTCTGCGTTATTATTCCAGGTCTTGCTTTTAACAGGGTGCACTTACCACACACTGCAGTGGCTTGTTTCAGTGAAGTATCTGAGTTTTCCTTCTCTGACAGGTTTCCGCCTTCCATAGGTCCCGCGTTTCTTCAGTTTTGCTAAACTAACTCTATGGTATAAATGTGTGGAAACTCTGCACTAATGCCTGAGTCTCTTCCTTAAGATGCAATTGAGCAGCATTGTCTGACATAAGACTCTTTTTTTTTTCTACATAAGACTCTTAAGGAGTATTTTCCATTGCATTTTACTTCCCTCTCCATATTGTGCTGTCACTACAGTGGGTGTCCTCTAAGAGCCTTTGTTGTAACGAAGACATGCAGCTCTCTCAGAGCCAAGTGTGTTTGTTCACACCCAGAAGAGCATGATGTGTGTGGCAGTTTAATCATAAACACCATATGAGCAGATCCTCGCCAACTCTGTATCAAAATTGGCCACTAAACTAAGCAGTGGCACAGAGGCCTTTACTGGTAAGACTGCCATTCATGGAGTCTTTTCCGTATGTCAGACCTGCCAGACTCCAGCATCTCATCTGGGAGGTAGGTGGTAGGTACCCTTCCCATTATTTGCACACAAGTAAAGGTTCTAAGTGGTGAAGTCATTTCCTCAGGATCCTCACTTCTAATTAAGTGCTCAAGTTGAAGCCTTAGGCCCCTGTGTTTGACTCCTGTGTTATCCTGGCCGCCTGTACCACAGAAGGAGCTTTGTCTGCCAGCCATGTGAGGACAAACAGGTTGTGAATTTTGAAATAAATTAAGGTTAAATATATAACCATCATGCTTGCCTCCTTTTTTTAGGACGTCAATGATGCCCTTGGAATCAGTATTGCTGGAGGAAAAGGAAGTCCCCTAGGAGAGATCCCTATATTTATTGCCATGATTCAGGCCAGTGGAGTGGCAGCACGTACGCAGAAGCTTAAGGTAAACAAGAGGGACACGGTTGAAGTGCTGACAGCATGTGGGAGGGGAAGTTGCTGCCATGGACAATTTGTTTAAAGTCTGAATTCCAATAGCCATCAGAGACCCACGCTGAGGGCAGAATGCATTACAGAAAGTTTATACTTGAAATTCGTTAGGTCTCTGGGCATATAAAAATATTGTTTCTATCAAGTGTCTCAATGAGAGAAGAAATTGCAGCTTATCTGCAAAGCCTCTCATATTCTTTTAGCACCTCATTATACTTCAAGTGGATTTTCAACCCAGAGATTTGACCTTACACTTGTGCCTCAAATAAAAGAGGCTTTTTAATGATTTTTTCCCTATTTCCCCTTAATCTTAATTTTGGTAGAAAAATAAAGCCAAAAATACTTGCCTTCCTCATTAGAGCTTTATTGAAGGGTTGATTTGTGCACCCCACTATTGCTAGCAAATGGATGTCTGACGCCGTCATACAAAAGGGGCCTCGGTGCCTTTTAATAGTTTAGTCTGACCCCCTTCTCGTTTCTCTGATTGGCTTTTATTTGAGGAAAACCATAAAAATCCCCCTTGCTTCTTGAACATGTGTAAAGAGTAGAAGAACAGCGTCGTCCCAATGGCTGCAAATAGGAATATGACTTACAAAGAATTTGAAGCATTCTTCTCAAATTTAATTTTTCCTAATGATAGTGATTTTCTACCACTTTTGTGCTTCCAGGTTGGAGACCGGATTGTCAGCATTAATGGGCAACCTTTGGATGGGCTGTCTCACGGGGACGTGGTTAATCTACTGAAGAACGCCTATGGGCGCATTATCCTGCAGGTACTGCCGTCAGTGGAGACGCAGCTGCACAAGGCAGATAAGTGGCGTGCATGAAAGATTGAGCGTCACTGGCAGGAGGCATCACCACCCAGCAGGGTGCTCGCTGATGTGAATTATGAAGGTTGAAAGCAAGAAATTATTATTTTTATTCAGAAATTCTTTAATGCCACCCATACAGGCAGTGAGCATGATTATATGAAAGCATAACAAGGGGAGAAAAATTACTCTTTGCCTCACATGATAAATCAACAAGGCTTTTAGCTTCCAGCATTCTTTTGTAAATCAGAATTTGCAAGGAATAGGAAATTATTTTTTTTTTAATGCCCAAAGACGGTTCCTGAACTACAATGTGCTATTTTATCCTCTCCCTATAAAGGAGAGGGAAAAACACAATACTGCTTTTCCCATAGCACAAATGATCCCACCACTGCTAAATTCTCACTTCGTAGTAGTCATCAACTAAGACAGACAATTATTTATCAGCCGTGGTCCCCAAGAGTATTGTCTGGAGGCACGAGGAAACATAGTAGGAAGTAAAAGCAACCTGTACTGTTAATGACCTCCGCTTATGTTATGACCTTCAAATATCTCTGAGATTGATGCCATGCTGTGAGTAGGAGGCAGGATACTAGCAGTGAGTGTCGTTAATGAGATTCCCCCCACCACCACCAAAAAAAAAGTATATTTATAATCCCTGTATTTCTGCTGAGTGATTTATGATAAAAGACTATAAACCCCACCATTTTGTAGCTTAGAGAGAGGCATAACCAGCCATTCAGATAATTCTTGCCATAAAATAAGAGGTTTGAATTGAAAAACCATTACATTTGGGAGAACCAATTTATGGTGCTTTTACTTTTAGCATCTCAATAGTTTAAGTACAAAGTGCCAAAACAGTCATTAAAACAGCAAATGATTTTCAGCATTTATGAAGAGAACTAGGAAAATATTGCCAATAGTTTCCATGGAGTTTACATGATAAGCCAAATTTATATTATTTGGGTCTCGAAGTTAATGCTAAATGGGAATCTTATCACAGTGTGGACTGGCCATCGATTCTACTCCCTGCCTCACTCCTTCTTGTCCACATTTTCCATGGAAAGTTATATTGCTACCTCATGCCCCTCCTTCTGTCCTGGCCTCAACCATTGTTCCACCCTACGGAATAGAATGTGTGCATTTTAGTATTTGCTGTGTGGGTGCTTCCTTCATGTTATGCTGACCCCTAGAGGTACTCCAAGTGCAATGCTCCAGTTTGTGAGTGGTGAACTGTTGTTGTTAGGTGCCTTCAAGTTGAGTACCTCATGTAGTGACCCTATGAACACTATTATATATGTGGACTTTTAAGACAAAGTTATTTCCTCTTAAAATATTGTTCTTATTGTAACTATTTTGTCAGAACCGACCCATAGCTCACCCCTTCAGTGGATTTCCAAAGGCAATAAATAGCATGGGAGTTGATTGCTCATCTTTCTCCTAGGAAGCAACTGGTTGATTTGAACCATGTACCATTGCATTGGCAACATGATTCCTTACCACTCAGCTAACTATGACAAGGGGGGGAAAGTTATTTCCATTAGCAACATTTAGTGTTATTGCTATTTTAATGCACTGGTATAATTTGTTCATCTCCTTATTCCTCACCAAAAAGAGAAAGCTATTTTAAATGTAGCAGTAGCTAAATATAAAAAGTATAATAAGTGAAAGTGATCTTAGGTTACGTGTTGCACTCCTACTAACAAGAAGTTCAGCGGTTCAAACCTCCCAGGCACTCCAAAGGAGAAAGATTGACAGTCTTCTCCTTAAGAATTTAATCTTAAATTTAATTCTTAAGATTTACAGTCTCAGAAATTTGAAAGAGATTGATTATGAGACGGAATCTATTAAATGGCAGTGGGCTTGGTTTGGTTCTATATTTTAAGAAGAACATGTAACTGTTGATTTCATAATGTTTACTAGCATTGATCACATTAGTTGGTGTTGTTGTTTTCTGATGTATGCTAGTTGAAGATAAGTGGAATTCTTCGGAATTATTACAATTGTCGTCTGCCCAATTGTAGATATGGAAAAAATGTGCTACAAAGGCTTTAGGTATATAGCACAAGAAACTCTTTAAGTCTTGCATTAAGTGTCTGCCAGTTACATAGTGTGTTTTCATTAAAATGATGCGCATGAAGTAACCATCAGTATAATTATCACAGCTGACTTACCACTAGGTAATTGGTTTTTTTATTACCAAGATAGCCATCCCATTGGCAAAATAGTAGGAAAGGTCAGATAAGTGTCTGATGATGCAGAAAAGATTTCTTGACAGTATGCCATGCAAAACAGCCAGTGTTGATTACACAGGGAAGATTATCATCTGAGTCAGCAGACTCCCTGGAGAGAAGAGGGAAGAGGAAAGACAACCAGGACTTCTGCCGGTTTTAGTAAAACTTGTTAGATGTAATATGGGGGGCAAATATTTCTCCCCTTAAAGTCTAGTCATTTAACTGGTGGCTTCTTATAGTGAGTTAAGTTATTGACCAGTTGAGATTTAGCTGACTGCTGGGGATCATTTCAAACATTCCCAATTAATTACTTTTGCATTTTTAGCGCGCGCGCGCGTGTGTGTGTGTGTGTGTGTGTGTGTGTGTGTGTGTGTGTTTATATAGAGTCCTGGATCAGCTCTTTTATCTAAATAATTGCTGTAAGACCTTGATTGGATATAACTTGGTAGCCTAAAGTATCTATCAGAAGTTTTCAAAGCGATACATAGGCAGACAAGATGAATAGATATGGGAGTTGGGGGAAGGAGGAGGTTAGAGAAAATCTAAAAAAAAAGAAAACACGTCAGGAGTATTTTCATAAAAGAAACTTGTGAGGCCTGTAGTGATTTCACTGAAAGACACCCCAACCATTTTAGAGCTTGATAGAATGAGAAGATCTATATTAAGTCCAATAGAGAATGTAGAAGGAATATGCTTGAGAGCAGATAATGGTTGTAGTTATAGACATCCAGGTGGAGATATTCAGCAACAAGAGGAAGTGTGCTCCTGATGGTTAGGGAGACATCAATGCTAGAATCAGTGAATAAATGAAGCCAACTAAGGCTTTCTCTGTGTTGTCACCCCTTTGCATGGCATCTTTTACATAACAGATATGTTGTCATTGTTGTTAAATGCAGATATAGTGACTGAAAAAATGAACAAGAACAGAGAGACATGGATCACCAAGGAAACAAATAGGTCTGTCTTAGAGAGGTTGAAACCAACTTTCTCCTTGGAAGCTAGTATTCTTTTTTTTTTTTTCTATAATTATATTTTATTAATTTTCATAAACATTTACAGAGATTTTGGGCTTCCACTCATTCATTGTTGCACTATTCTCTCTACCCTCCTCCCAGTTTGTTCTTGTCCAAATGCCACAGTGCTTGTCAAAGCCAGTTCTGATTAATCTTCTTTGTCAGTGTATCCTTTGCCATTCCCTATCACTCCTCCCTGAGAGAGACTTCAGCCTGATTCATAAGGAAAAGGGGACGGCGTATTCTCTTAGCTACTTCCTGCTGAAAAGGGACGCTGTGGGTTTCAGGGTGAAGATCTTCTCTCACTATTCTAAAGGGCCCCTTTGGCAGTAGGAAACACATAGACTATTATGGAGATTGATTTTGGAATTCAGATGCACTCTTATTGATTGTGGTTGGCTGTACATGTACATATCCTTGAAGATGTATCATGGGGGTGTTGCAACCTAGAAGACACAAATTTGACTAACAAGTTATAAGTACATGAGTCCAAAAATTATGGAAAAGTAAAAGAAAAGATTCTTTCATTGTTTTACAAACCCTCCCCCAGGTCCCCTCCTCGCTCTAGTCTCCTGTGATGACAGAAATACCTAGCTATATATCTCTTTTAAACAGTTTTCTCCCTCCTCTGTTTCAGTGCAGTATACATTATTGAACCCATCTTACTCAGTCTCTCCCCAACCCCAAGGACAGTCCCATTCTACAACAGTGGCATCATGTAATATTTGTCCTTTTGTGACTGGGATATTTCACTCAGCATAATGTTCTCCAGAGTCAACCATTTTGAATAATATTGCATGAGTTCCTTGTTTTTTAATGCAGCATAGTATTCCATTGTGCAAATATACCACAGCTTCTCTAGCCATTCGTTTGTTGATGGGCACTTAGGTTGTTTCCAACTCCTTGCTATTGTGAACAAAGCTGCGGAAGCTAGTATTCTGAACCTTCATCTCACATACTTTGGGTATGTGGCCAGGAGGGGCCAGTCCTTGGAGAAGGACATCATGCTTGGAAGGGTGGAGGGACAGTGCAGAAGAGGAAGACCTCAGATGAGATTGATTTGTATAGTAACTGGGGCAATGAGGATAGGTATGTTGGAGTCAATGAGACTGTCTCAGGATAGAGCAGGCTTCCGAGCTGTTGTATATATGGTTACAAGGATTCATGGGTGACTCTGTGACACTAACAACAACATCTAAAAGTAGATTACATGGATATTTGCAGCTATCCTCCTGAGCAAGCAAAACCTTTCAAGAGGGACCATCTGCTGGTGAGAAGAAGACATACTATATATTAAATTAACAGGGAAAATAAACAATTATTTTCTTTGTGAGCCTCAGGTTGAAAATGAGAGATAAAAGATAAGATACAAAATTAATTGTATAAATCCAATGTCCAGCTCATAGGAGATGCAAAAATAAAAAAAAAAATCAAGAAAATTACAAAGAAATGAAAGAAATGTGCTTAAAGGCCCATTAAGCACTGTTTTGTTGTTGTGTACCACAACCAACCCATAGCTGACCCTCCAGTGGGTTTTCAGAGGCAGTTATATTATATAGGAAGAGATCACCCATCTTTCTCCAGTGGAGTAGCTCGTGGATTTTAACTATGTGGCTTTGAGATTGCAGCACAGCTTCTTGCCACAAGAGCTCATTAAGCACTAAATAGGATAAATAACAAGAATACTTACACGCTAAATCTTTCAATGTAAAAGAAA